CTCCTTCTGGCGCAGGCTCAAAGCGACTCATTCCCATTCAAAGTCAAGGCTTGAAAGACAGGACAATCTATTCCTACTGACAGTCGTTTGAACTCTCTTGCCCCTGAGTATGATGAAGCCACAGGCCTCATCACGGTGGGTGGACGATTACGTCAGGCGGACAACTTAGACTTGGAGGCTATCTATCCAATAGTGTTAGATCCTGGCCACCCTGTCACCAATCTGCTAATTAAGGAGACAGATCAACGACTCCTTCACCCTGGCTCAGAAAGGGTCCTAGCTTAACTTCGCCGCCAGTATTGGGTACTAAGAGGTAGAGAAACAATTCGGAAACACCAGCACACTTGTAAAGACTGTCAGTTCTGGCATGCCAAACCTCAAACCCCATAAATGACTGATCTTCCATCCAGTAGATTGCAACTTTACAAACCACCGTTCTACTCTACAGGGGTAGATTGCTTCGGCCCCTTTGCAGTTAAAGTCGGTCGTCGCCAAGAGAAGAGGTGGGGAATCCTCTATAAATGTATGATAACCCGGTGCGTGCATCTAGATCTGTTGGAGTATCTAGACACTAATGCATTTCTGCTTTCTCTGCGTCGCTTCATCGCTCGACGAGGCAAGCCCATGGAACTGCTTTGTGATAATAGCACTAATTTCATTGGAGGGGATCGAGAATTACGAGAGACTTTCAATGCCATGGCACCAAGGCTTCAGGAGCTGCTTGCAGAGCAAAAGATTCAATTTCGCTTTAACCCACCAAGTGCTCCTCATTTCAGGGGAACCTGGGAGCATGAGGTGAAATCTTTAAAGTCAGCCCTACGTGTCATCCTGCGAGAGCAGTCAGTGCCAGAGCCAGTATTGCAAACCCTGTTAGTGGAGGTTGAAGGCATTCTGAATTCCAAGCCACTCGGCTACATATCCTCCGATGTCGCAGACTTGGACCCAGTGACTCCCACAACCTACTCCTCATGGGTCTACGTGATGCCTCCCTACCTCAAGTTCTATATGACTCTAACAACTTACTCGGAAGATGCAAATGGAGACATAGCCAAGTGTTGGCTGATAATTTCTGGACTGCTTTCATCCGTCATTATCTCACAAGTCTACAGGATCGTCCTAAGTGGAAGGATGGCAAGGAACTTACCGTGGGCCAAGTAGGAGGGACTGGGACTGGCAATGACCGATATCTAAGGGAGTGAAAGTGACAAGAAAAGCAAAGACAGAAAGAAACACACAGCACTGCACATATACACAACATCTGGCCAGAGGAGAATGGTGGAGTTTTCCTTCGACACACTATTTTCCTGTTTAATACTGTAAAGCTGCTTTGACACAATATTGTATTGGAAAAAGTGCTATATAACTAAAGTTAACTTGACTTGACTTGACTACCCCACCTCTGCAAATAGCTATTCATAAGAAGAGTTCATATGTAAAAACAGATAACTGTTTTTTTCATTGTGCATTCCAATTAATCTCAATCAGACTGCAGTTGGGTTATTTTGATTAAGTAAAAAATAAATAAAAAAATACATCTAACTAACACAAAGCACAATAAAAACATGATTTTGAAAATTAATTTTTTTTAAAGAGTTATCTGTTTTTGCAAATAAACTCTTCATATA